TGTCCCAATTTACCAAATTGGGCCCAACACCCTAAGTGGGCCTCATTCCAAGCACTATATTCAAAACTGGCCCAAAAACACCATATTCATAAACTCTAACAAAGGCCCAAATCCAACCGGTCCATAAAAAGCCCAAATCCCGAAGCCTAATTGTTAAAATCCCAACAGAGGATGTACACGGGGCATACTCCTCTGGTACGTTGGGCGTACTCGTCCTAATGTTGACCACCATCGGGGTGGTTGACCCAGTACGCTGGGTGTACTGGATTTACACTGGACGTACATAATGATTTGCTAAAACCTTAATAATTGCTTAATGGCTTAAGCTCTTAAGCCTAAAATTCAGATCCAATGACCAAATATGCTTAGGACCCATAAAGTCACGAACTATATCACTTTAAACGTCCAGAAAGCTCTTAATACTTGGTCTTAATCCATTAAGACCTTCCTACTCCATGCATGAGACATCTTAAGCCATTGGGACCTCATTTTTATCACTCAGAACCTCTTCAAGAGTATAGAAGGACAATTTATTTCGTCCAAATCACATCATGCACCATGTTGGGACTTTTGGGACAAAAAATGGTTCCTTAAAGCTAGAATAGCAAGATCTACAAAATGCATGTATAAAGTTTGAAGCTTTTTCCCTTATGGATCATCTAGGGCACCAACAAATTTCATATCTACAATATTGATCTTCTTCTCCAACGCCTTGATGTAACACCTTCTTCTCAAAACACTCAAAGTACACTCTATAAGCTCTCACGCTCAAGGAAATGGCCAGGGTTTGGGGGAAACAGTTCTAAACAATGGAGGCTGGGGTAAGGAAGGGTTATGAGCTCATAAGGTTGCTTATATATCCCCCAAACCCTAAATATTAGGGTTTCATCCTGACATAACTACGCCCAGCGTACTAAGGCGGACCTTAGTACGCTTAGCGTACTCTTTTGTACGCTCAACGTACTCCTTCATGACCCAAGGTTGCAACTTTGGCCCTTATACTTATCTTGGCTCTATACTTCCAACCCCAAGGACTACAAATGACCAAATAAATATAGTAGAAAGGGTTCGGAAATACCTGCAAAATCTCGGGATGTTACAAATATCATAATTGACTAGAAATAAGATGTTAAAGAATAAATATTTTAGACTGAAAGGTATGGGCAACACATAAATGCATTATTATGGAATTGCAGCGGCGTGGCAACGAGTGAACACCGCCCCAACCTTTTGTTTTTGCATGTTACGCTGCTGTCCGCGGTGACGGTAACGAAGGGAAACGATAATATTTCCGAAAGTTAAGCGCTTTTGACCATTTTCAAATGATTAGTTTGAATATTATTTTTACCTATAAATACATATAAAACACCTAATTTTTTTTTATCACCATTCTATTTTCTTTCTCACTATTTCATAAACTTTCAAAAAAAAAATTAAAAAATGGATCCATTCGACCTGTCTAACGATGATGATGTTGAGGATGATATATTCATCTCTATGATGTTTGAGTATTGCACGAACATGCTACTACACCCAAATCCAACTCCTCTATTAACCACACATGCAACGTTGAACATAGATTGTGAAGAATGGTGCATACATCTAGTTCATGATTATTTTGCGGATAATTGTGTTTACTAGCCACGCGATTTCAAAAGAAGGTATCGTTTGCATAATTTTTTTTTATTTCGGATAGCCAACACCTTAGAAAGCAGGTGTTGTTTCTTTCAAATACAACTTTTACATAAGATCCACTCTCGCTAGTCTAATTTAAATACACTGTTTTACATAATAAATATACATTTATATATGAATTTTTCCAATGAGATATGATGCTAGAGGTAAGAAAGGATTCACATGGTTGCAGAACTATGTTGCCGCAATTAAGCTTATGGCAATAGGGGAGTCGCCTGATTCAATTGACGATTATATGAAAACGTCTGAGAGAACTGCAAGAGAAAGTTTGTATAGATTTGCGAACGTGTTATCGAAACCTTCAACGACGTTTATTTGCGCAAACCTTCGTTGAATGATATACAACAACTATATGTGACGCATGAAAAAGACATTGCTTTCGGGTATGATTGGAAGTGTTGATTGCACGCATTGGTTATGGAGAAATTGTCACATGGCATGGAATGGCCAGTATGCAAGTGGTCACAATGGAACACCTTCGTTAGTATTAGAGGTTGTTGCTTCCCTGTATTTATGGATTTGACATGCTTTTTTCGGGCTTGCAGATTCGAACAACGACATGAACGTTCTTGATCAGTCACCAATATTCAAACATATGTTTTCAGGAAAGGCACAGGATGCTCCTTTCAGATGAATAGAAATGAATATGGGTTTGGATATTACCTTACAGATGGAATATATCCAGCATATTCTACATTCATGAAGGCATTTCGACACATAGTGGAACCAAGAGACAAAATTTCAAGAGAAAATAAAAAAAAGGAGCACGTAAGGATGTGGAACATGCTTTTGGAATTCTAAAGTTGAAATGACACGTAGTTGAACATGCGACACGACCATATCAGTTAGATGTTCTACAAGATACTATAAATGCATGTATGATAATGCATAATATGATGCTTGAAGATAAATGATGAAGTATTGCGGAGTGTTCGGCTTCAGAGCCCAAACACATGCAATTTCAACCCAGAACAACAGAATATTTACATAGGATTGTTGATATCCAAGACGCATGAAAACGCAACCAGCTTCGAGAAGATTTGATTTATTACATGTAAGATGGAAATAGGGATGAGCAATATGTCCCAAATCCTGATCCCGTACCGCTACCGTACCTGAACCGGTACCGAACTGTAGCGAACTTAAAAATATGGGACGATACATGGTACTTCAAATACATGAAATTCGGGAATCGGTACCGTCGGTACCGATACTAGTACCGAAAACCAGTACCATTCTCGGTACCGATATCTATGATGTTAATTCGGTTCGGTACTCGGGATTGACTTTCGATCAAATTCGACATTCGAGAAATCAGAAACGGGACGGGTCGGTACCAGTTCCGTCCCACGCTCATCCCTAGATGGAAATAAAGATGAATAATTTAGGGGAAAAAATGTAAATTTTTTCCTTTTAAATGTCATTTTTTTGTAATGTTTTTTTTTTATATTTTTAAATGTTATGTAGAATTAAAAATTTTAAGTTTTATTTAAGTAACATGTTTTATTCAACTAATTTTGTTTTTATAAATTTTAAAAATTAAATCGAAAAAAAAGAATGATGACATGGAAAAATTAAGGGTGTCATAACATGTTGTCAATTTTCTCACTCGGTGTTATAACACCATGGGATGACATGACATATGAGGTGACAACTTTTAGGTGTGATAATACCTCTTAACTAGTTGCTCACACCCACTAGCCAGAAAAGGGAGGAAGCAACTAAATTGAAGGTTCCGCTCGCAGATCACTTCGTGAGCTCATTTAGTAAACACTGAGTGTGCGCCCTTTAGAGAAGATATAAGGGAGAGTTTTACACCAACTCGTAAGTCAAGTACGGAACGAGCCTTGGCTACGAAGCAGAGCAACGTCGTCTTGCTGGCTTCTAGCATTGGATTGTAGGCATGACATGAATAAATGGTTATTTGAATTGTAATTATATAATTATTTTAATTGAATGTCACATCAAATTTCAAATGAGTAGAATTGACTATCCGGCATAGACTCAATCCTTCATTATGTTAGCTTCTATTTTGCAATATTTTATAGTTTATGCTTTTGCCAGCTTTCAGTTAGGGCATCTTTAGTAGTTTATAAATTTACTAGTTTATAATGCATGATAACCACAAATTATAAAATTAATTAAATTTTCATAATAAAAATTTATAATTATTAATCAATTCTTTTAATTAAATTATTAATTAAAAAATATATCAAAATTTTAAAGTTATTATAACTTCAAATTTAACATATAATTAGAAAATGTAAAGTTGACTTTTGAATGAGTTGCCTAATATATTTAGAGGGTGTTTGGCCTGCCTTTTAAAATGACTTTTACTTTATCTTTTGGAAAAAATCCAAAAAGATGTTTGGTAAGGTAAAAATGACTTTTATAAATGACTTTTTCCATAGAGTATTTTGAGACTTTTTGAAAAGTCACGTATACCTGACTTTTCCTAACTTTTCAGTAGCTAAAAATTAGAAATTACCAATATACCCTTATCTACCGTAATTAACGTCATTCACCTTTATTCACAGTTTCTTTTTGTTCTCTCTCCTTACGCACTCCCTCTCGCATCTCGACCTGCAACAAACACCGGCGACGCCGGCGACCTGCAACACCGGCGACACCGTGCCCCGCGATCAGGTTTGTTTCTTTTCAATTTGATTTCCGATCTCAGATGTGATTTCCGATCTCAGATGTTGCAATCTCTTCCTGTCTATTTCCGATTTCCAATTGATTTCTGATCTATGATGTTACATTTGATTTCCAATTTCCGATTTCCATTTGATTTCCGATTTCTGAAATTGATATTATGTAATTGAGTTGCTGTGAAAATGATGTGCTGTGAAATGCGCTCCTCCCGATTTCGAATTTTCCATGAACTATTCTTCTCTCTAGCCTCTGAAATAATTGATATGTTGTGAAATTGATTTGCTGTGAAATGTGCTCCTGATTTATGAAATATGTGATTTGTTCTTCAATGTGATTTGTTCTTCCTGATTTCTGAAATATGCTGTCAAATAGTGATTATTTTTTGAACTTGATGAAAAATGAATTAACAATTAATGAAATATGAAGCTGATGAAATTTTTTGTTCATGGATTATATTTGTGTTAACAAATGACTGTTTTGTGAAATTGATATGTTGTGATAATCTATTTTTTCTATTTTGATTAGAATTTTGATAAAATAATGAAATCATTTAGAAAGGTTAATGAAATTGGTTTGTTGCTTAAATGTTAATACTATATGTATTCACAGATAATGGATGAAAACAACACTACAATTGTTGATTGTGAAACATCTTTAAAAATGAAAAAACCAAAATTTGGGTGGGATAATCGTAGCTTCATGGTGTTTGTTGATTCGTGCTTGATTGAAAAAAAAAGCCCGTAAACCCACTTCCTCCTTTGATAAAATTGGGTGGGAAAATATACAAAGACGTATTAAGGAGAAAACAGGTTATAGCCTTGAAAAAAACAACTAACAAACAAATGGGAGAACATGAAAAAAGAGTGGAAGCTTTATGACCGCTTAATGAGGCTTGAAACCGGACTCGGTGGGACGAGAAGCCTAGTAGATGCGTCCCCCGAGTGGTGGGAGGAGAAAATAAGGGTATGATTACTATTTTTTTTAAATTATTTTAAGTTATGATTGCATATAGATTGAATATATTTGATTTACAATATCTTTTTGTCTTGTAGGAGAATAAAGATTATGCCAAATTTAGGAACACATATTTGAGCATATTTGATGAGAAATATGCTATTTTGTTTCGGGATTCTGTTGCCGTTGGAGATCAGACTATGACTCCATTACAATTTCAAAACAATAGCAATCCAAATGAAGAAAATATGGAGGGCAAAGGAGATAGTGATGAAATCAATTTAGATGATGATGAGCCTCTTTTTACTAGTCTCCATGAAAGTAGTTCAAGTAAAAGGAAGAGGTCTAAGTCTGTTTCCAACAACCGTCCAACCAAGAGTAAAAATTCAATTTATGAAGAAAAAGTTGATGCTTTATTGGATGCCATATCATCAAAATGCACACAAACTTATCCACACAATAATCCGTCCCCAACAATAGCAGATTGCATGGCCATTGTCATCAAGTTCCCCGATTTTCGTGAAGGGTCCAACAATTTTTCACAAGCCTTGTTTGTCTTCACCAAAAAGCAAAACCGTGAAGCTTTTATGTTCCCAACAACCGACGAAGCCAAGATGGAGTTTCTTAAGCTACTTATGAAATAATGATTTAGCCATATGTGTTATGCTTTGACATTTATGTGTTATCCTTTGATAATATGTGATATGCTTTGACATTATGTGTTGTCCTTTGACATTATGTATTTGACATTTTATATTATGTGTTATTGTTTGACTTTATGTTATGTGTTAATGGTTGACATCATTTTATTTGTATTATGTAGGATGGATAGTGATGATTCTAATTCATCGAATGATAATGAAGAATGTGTAATGGAAGAAGATAGAGAATTTGAAATGTTATGTGGATTAGCTTTGAAAGGGATAATACTCGCTCGTAACTTACGTACACCATGTCACACTTCAGATCGCACAGGGCACATGTTTATTATAGAAGTACTAAATGGCCATCCTAGACGTTGTTATGAGATGTTTAGACTCAACGTACCGGTTTTTAGACAGTTATGCTTAGATCTTGCTACAAATTACGGGTTACAACAAACCCGAAAAGTATCTATAGAGGAGTCTGTAGGAATATTCTTGATGACTTTGGCGCATGGGTGTAGCAACAGATTTGTGCAAGAATTTTTTAATCATTCAGGGGAAACGATTCACATGCATTTCCATACAGTTTTGGAAGCCGTGCTAAAACTGAGTGCCGACATCATCTAGCCAGACGCAAACTATAATGATGATGTTCCCGAATATATATTAAATAACCCTCGGTATTATCCAATGTTCAAGGTATTATCCAATGTTTATTTTCTTGGTAGTAAAACTTTAACAAATAATTTATTTATGATATATTTTTGAATTTGAAGGATTGCATTGGTGCTATAGATGGGACACACGTTAGGGCATCGGTTCCACAAAAAGATGAAGTGAAGTACATTGGTTGAATGGGATATGCAACACAAAATATAATGGTTGTTTGTGATTTTAACATGTGCTTTACATTTTTTTGGGTCAGTTAGGAGGGGACTACACACGATACAAGAATTTTCAATGAAGCCTTACAGAGACCAGATCTTAATTTTCCCTATCCAACGGGTGGTTAGTATTTTTTTTTTTTTTTGGAATACAAGTTTTATGTTTTTACTACTTGTTTGAAACGAATAATAAATGTTTGTTTTATTTACAGATAAATATTACGTTGTTGATGCTGGATATCCAAATATGAGAGAGTATCTTGCTCCATACAAAGACTCAAATATTCGTTATCATTTACCAGATTTTCGACGTGGACACACGACTGCTATTCGTGAACCTCGTGGACCGAAAGAGAAATTTAATTATCTCCATTCATCATTGCGAAATATCATTGAACGAACTTTTGGAGTGTGGAAAGCTAGGTGGGCGTTATTAAGAGACATGCATGTTAATTACAAGTACAAGAACCAAGTGAAAATTATGATAGCATCGATGGCGATCCATAACTACATTAGAAAGGTTGGTAGGTTTGATGAAGCGTTTAATAGGGCACAACAAGAATCCTACAATCCCGTACGAGGTGATACCGGCATTGATGTTTATGAAGAAGGTCCAAGTACACGTCGCACAAACAATGATGATTTATATATGGCAACGGGACAGGATATTATTGCACAAGATATAATCACATTACGTAGATGAATGTAATATTATCTATGATATTTTTTATGAATTATTTACAATTTGTATGAACGTAATTTTAATATTGTCATGGTCTAATCCAAAAAATTAGAAATATTTTAATTTGTGTGAACGTAATTTATATTTTACATTTGTATGAACGTAATTCTAATATTGTCATGGTCTAATACAAAAAGTCATCTTATGAATTATTTATAATTTGTATGAACGTGCTAATTTTAATATTTCATGGTATAATCTAAAAAATTAGAAATATTTTAAAAGAAATTTATATTTTATATTTTCTAATAAAATGTTTATAAAATTATAATATGTGTTTAAAAAATTTTTTAAGTATAAAATAATATATGTAAAGTAGTAAATCAATGTAAATATGTAAACATGTCCTTTTTTATCATTTTACATATAAAAGTTAAACCAAACACTTTAACTTTTGATTTTTCTCTTCAAAAGCTAATTCAAACATATTTTAAAAAATAACTTTTCTAAAAAGTCATTTTCCAAAAAGTTATTTTACAAAAATGATTTTTGCCCCACAAAAGCTAAATCAAACACCCTTTTACATGACACATGACATAATATTAATGAGGAGTTGTATTAGAGTGATACTTGACAAAACGAGATTAAAAGTATTCATTTGTTAGAATAAGTATCCATAGTTCTAAAAAATGAAAACTTAAGCCACGTTAATGGTGGTTTTTAATTGGATCATTAACAGATAATAATGTATTAATACACAATAGTTACTTAGAGATTCTCTCAACAGATTCCCAGAACTTCGAAACTTTAAAGAGAGTTCAATGTCAGTTGAAATTGGGCCTAATATGTCAAATTGGGCGCTCAGTCAGCCCATAGAACACATATGGACAATTTATAAAAGCAAAATCTTATGTCCATGACCTATGTAAATTCCTTCTAATAGTTATTCAATAGCGGTAGCCTAGTAGAAAACCGGTTTCAGTAAAGAAAACCGAAATTAAATCCAAACCAGTTCGCCTGAAAGTCAGATTTTCAAAACAGGTCAGGTTTGGTCTGATCTGTTTATGACCAATTTTGAAATATATAACATAAAACATGGTCGGAACTGGTTTTTATCAAAACCGGTTTATACCCGATTTCCAGATATAGTAGAAAAAATTACACATAAACAAAAAATTTTAAATTTTAAATTGGTTCCGTAGCCTCTAACTATTATTAAGAGTATAAGGTATAGGTCATATTGCATCTCGTTGTTGCTGAGGTGGAGCATCCTCAATGCCATTAAGAAGCATCAACACCACCCTCTTCTTGTTGAATCTAGTTGTGTTGCTTCTTGTTGTGACCATGACTAAATGCAACGTGATTTTCTATTGATCGCCCAAATTCTTTCTCTCTATCTCTCTCCTCTTAACATGGTGTTATAACCCCATGAACACCACACTCTCTTCTTATTGCTTCTTATCATAATACCACTTTAAGTTGCCCATACCATATGCTCTAAAAGAAAACCTATAATTAATCAATGAATCAATCATGACTTTTTATTGTATTCCAATCATTTGTTTTCCACCTTTAGATTTCATACATCATTATTGACCAATATTTTGGACAAACACAATTGCAATTAATTATGGAATCGTTAAATCCAGTCATTATATTATTTATTGGAAGCAAATTAATTCATTTATATTCAAGATCTCAGTTTCTCCATTTGGCAAAAAACGTCTCTCCTTTATTTTAGTTTATAATGATTAACTAAGATTAATATATACATTGGAATATCTGATTGACGCTTCTTTATGTGTAGATATCTGATATAACATAAGTATACAATTGTTAATTTAAACTAATCATGCAAAAATGTTTCGAAGATACGACCATTGTTTAAATTGTTATCATTACGTGTGTATATATATATATATATGTATGTATGTATGTATGTATGTGCATGCATGTGTACGTGTGTATGTGTACGTGCGCGCTCGCACTAATATTGATTCTTGTAATTGTGATTTACACGGTATAGACAATATCAACACCAATTTTTTTTGTTTTAATTTTGATAAGCTTTTCTTTTCATTTAAAAATACTTATTATATGTGTTAATATGTCTATAAAGCCTGAAAGAAAACTCTAAGTAAAATCATGGTTATAAATAATAATTACTTAAAATTTACATCAAGACACATTCAAACGATAAACACTTACAACACGTGAAAATGCTTCAACATCATCAACTAAGTTGTTGGGTAGAAACTACACAAAAAAAAAGTCAAAATGTTGAAAAAAACTAAAAGATTAACATTTTTAGCGTTTATTAGAAGATAAGATAGTATATAATTGATAATAGTAATATAGAGTGAGTACCTTCTTTGCCAACTTTCTCTATAGCTTTCTCTACACGCACACACACACACACACACTCTCTCTCTCTCTTCTTTGAATTTTTCTTTGTTTATAGATGATAACTGAATGATCGTTTATTGTTTATATAATCTCACTGTCACGAAAAATGCATGCAAAACATATGTTGCTTCCATCATGCTGATTATATCTACAAATTTTATTCGTACGGGAAAGAATGAAAGAAGCATGACAATTTCCAGATGTTATTTTGCCACATTTAATAAACATTTGAATGAAAGCACATTGATATATTTTGGTTAGGGAAGATGAAGTCGTGGTAAAATGGGGAGGTACCATTGGTACCTCCAAGACAATACTCCCTCTTGAGTGGGTTATTTATATAGCTTCACTAACCCGCTTCATCCTCTATCTCTCCCTCTCTCTTTCTTTCTTTCTTTCTTTCTCTCCCTCTCTCTCACACACACACACACACATACCATGTGTTTAAAAACTTGTACCTTAGTTGTTTTGTATTTTTTTTAATTGAGTAGATTGAATGGGTTGGAAAATGTAAGGCTTCCATGTATTGTGGGTCAGGAAAGATGTAAGAGAGAGAATATAGAAAAGCTAATGTGACAGCGGGTTGAATGGGTTGGTATGATGACTCAGTTTTTCCTAATATTTTTTTTGCCATAAATGGTCACCAATCATTCATTTAGACACAATCAAACATATCATGATTTTAATGGACAAAATATAACAGAATGTGTTTTGAGCATTGCAATGGTTCATACAAACTATTAAGTTTGTATATTGCAAAAGTAGAATATCTTTCAACTTCACTTGCCTGGAACAAAAATCTCTTTGACTTTCTTGACTTGTCCTTCCCAGAGAAGACTAAACCAAAAGGCTTCAAGCATATTTCACCATCAACTTATTTCTTCAAGTCATCTTGAGTCTTCGAAGGAGCCATTGGTGCAGTAATTTCAAGACCTTTTGTTGTAGACAACTCCACATCTTTCATTGCCAGACATTCATAATAATTTTCGATAAAAATCTTGATGTGAGTAACTCCCAGCTTGTATTCGTCAGGATCAGTGTTTTGAAGATATGAAAATGATCTTTCCTTCAGCAGTAATGCAACTTGTATAAGATCATGCAAGTTCATCAAAGGAAAGTATGCTATTATAAACTCTCACGCATCCCCATTTTCCATGTCATAATATACTTCATGTTTTGGACTGTGTTTTCGAAGACCACATCCTTCTTTATACTGATGACCTTTTTGATCTTGACTAAGGACCACACTTCTTCTGCAGGCTTGGCAAGAACCACATGAAATCTTATGTTCATGTGTGTACCTTCATCTTTCTCCTTGAATTTACTTTCAGCTTTGAATTTAGGCATGATGAACATCATTTCGTTAATTGAAAAGTCCAATTGGCTTGCATTCGTATTCGTGACAATATAACTATGTTTAGGCTTCTTCTCAAACGAATACATGTGATTGAATGAAACATTGGCTTCAATTGTTTCATAGTTGTAGTTCTTCGATGGATCATCCTTGTTCAATCCAGGAGGATCACTGGCCCTCTGAGTCATAATGCTTTGTATCATCCTCATCTCTCTACTTCTGCTTCTGCCTATGCCTTCTTCTCATCTTTAGATTTTTCGATTAAAATTGACTTTCCCCTTGCCTTCGAACCTGATTCCTCTATCACTTCTCTTCTACCAGTATCAACAGATTTACCAATCACAATACCTTTTGAAATTGGTCTTGTAATTGGCACAATTGTAATAATTATAGAAGTGATATGACCAACAGTTTCTATCACTGGTTTTGAAGTTGGAATTTTGGAAGGAAATTCCTTTCCCACAACCTTCGCATCTTCACCACTGGCCTTCGTACCTTCAACCTTCTTTTCTCCCCCTTGCACCCCTATGCTAGCAGGTGGGGCATCCATGGTAGGAAGAAGGCTAGAGATTCTGGAAAGAGGAGCCAACTACTGAACAAGTAAGGCTTCAAATTTGGAAAATTTGTTGATAAGATCTTCAGAAGAAGGTAACAAAGACAAAGCAGGAGTAGAAGATAAAGCGTTAATCTCCTTTAGCATTGAGAAAACCTCCATGAAAATTTTATTCTCACTTGTAGAAAGTTGAGTAATTTGAGGACTCAAACTTTCGTACAACTTTGCGAATTTAGTAACAGCATCGCAGATGATATCCACCTTTTGATTTAGAGATGCAAATTCAGTACGAACATTTGCAATCTCTTTCTCCATATCTTGATGCAATCCTTGGAATTTATAATTGACATCTTCTCTCACCTTCTTCACATCTTCAATAAACAGAATATGTCTTTCCTTCGCAATTGACTTTAACGATTGCAAATCACCATTAAATGTAGATTTCTGAGCATTGACCCTCATCTCATTATTCTGATCACAAATGCCAATTTTCTCGAGAATACGAGACTCAAAATCCTTAATTATGCCAGATACATTCGAAGAAAGCCTTCCTTCAATCATCTTCAACATTCCATCAACTTCAAGACTTGTTACAAAATTTCCTCCCCCAAGATCTGCCTGAGACTGAAGAATTGAATTGAGTTTGGTATTCAATATCTTGAACTGTTTCATTGTTATTAGCATATGATCTGGAAAGTCCGTCTCTTCTTCATCAAACTCTAAATTTTCAAAGGTTCTGCCAAAACCTTCGGACCTGTGTTCTGTTTCCATGAAGGAAGAATCTTTGATTGGAGAAGTAGTGGTAGGTGAATCAGTTGATTGTGAAGAAAAAAAAGATGTGAATGGTTGTTGAACAATAGTTTCAAAATTAGGAGAATCGGTTGTGGATGTTGTTGGAATGATAGGTCTAACCTGTGAAGATAAAGAAACTGTTGTGTCTGGAGTAACATCCGAATATTTACTTTTGCGGGCAACATGCGAAGCATCCTCACCCATTGTGACACTTTTATCCATATTAGATATGTTTACAATAATGTCAGAATTTTGTACCTCCACAGAAACTGTCTTGGAAATCAAAACTTCGGGTGGAATTACATCATCTTTTTTAAGATCAACTTCAGGTGTCTCTGGAATGGTTTCAATTTCATCAGCTGTAGATTCAGATGAAATAACCACTCTTCCCTTCTTCTTCTTTTTTGAAATATGTTTGGCCATGTCTGTTGCCATTCTTTTCTTTGAAGACGGTGATACAAGGTAGGAATCTCACGAAAAATGACTCTTTGATGCGAAACCTGCGGTTTACAAACAATATTGGTGAAAGGTGAGCGACTCTTGTGCCTAGACTTCATCTTGATTCTTCAAAAAACTCCAGTCTTAGAAGGAATAATTTCCTTTTAATTCGAAGGAGTATCAGCAATAACAACGTCTGGTTGGATTGGCTCAGGCTCTGATATTGGTACTTTCTTCGGACTCTTTGCTGATGTAGATTCTTTAACCGATTTCGTAGAAGATTCAGCAACAACCTTCTTTGAACATTTTGACTTCTTGTCTTCTTCTCTAGCCAATAGAACCCTGGTTTCAACAGAAGTATCAATGTTTTGCAAATAATTAATGAGAACGGTGTTGGTGGGATCAACTCTCTTCAGCATAGCATCTGGAATGCAAGCAACAAATGGGAATTCATCTATATCGTCAGCTGCATCCTTCGGGCAACTATATATATGAAACACCGTCTTTTCTTCGTCGGCTGGTACCAAAATTCCTTCTTTCTCATAAAAATACTATAAGATCAAGCTCCAATAACGGGCACACGAAATGCCTTGAATAGCATTTGTGTTCTCTATACTTTTCAAGAACTCCTTCCACAATTTAGTAGAATAATCAACCTAAAGATCGTAGTATAGACCTGCAACCATTGCATAAACTTCCATCTGCCCTTTATCCAACCTAACAGTTCTTCCGGTCATGCATCGAAGAAAAATACCGAACAAGAAATTCCATACACTCGGAAGTCCTGACTTCTTGAAATCACTAATCTTTGTCAACTGGGGTTGATGACCCATTTCATTGAACATATGGACGATTTGTAGGAATGTAAAAGAGACATATGGCAGAGAATTAGGTATCTCAAGAATTTGGCAGAAAAGCTTCTTGGAAAGTCTAACCTTCTTATCAGTCACCAGATTAAACAACACTAAATCTAAGGATTTTGAGTAAGTTGTTGTTCATTCCGCTTGAGACAACCATGAGAGAGGAAAAGAGAATAAGTTGAACATGGCTTTTGATAGAATGGAACTTTTCAGAGTAACGATAAGCATTTTCAATTCTTTAGGATAGTGAGAAACGTTGGCTTCAACTTGATAATTTGTTCCTTGGATCTTCATGATCAGCAATGAAGTTACATTATCAGTGGTATGAGATAGATTTGCATCAGGATTAACAGTTGCCATTGTTAGGGTTTGAGAGTTGGATGTTTATCAAAGAAAATTTGGGAATATGAAAGCGTAAACTGATAATGAACCCTTGAATCCCCTTTTATATGTAACACTGAATTTTGAAATAAAAGCAGGATAAGCATTAAATGATCTGTGACGTGCCACCGTGAAACCCGTGTCATGATGATGAAAAGTAACCATGCGTGATATAGTAACTGTCACATCTCCTCAAAACCCTCACGGAATTCAAACAGTCTCTTCAAACATCCTGGATTGTTTTCCCCAATAGAATAGTAACCGTTGGAACCCTTCGGATGGAGTCAAGGCTCTTTTACTTTATGGTTTCAAAGTAATGTCATTTTCCAGATTTTTGAAATCATCAGCGTTGGTATTACTCAGAACCGCAAGGATTTCGTGTGTGTAAAGTGTCAAAGAATAAAGATAAGAAGCAATTAAAAAAATTTGGATATTAGTGATGTCAAAAGTTCAATTTGACACGAAGGTAGTTAAAATCCCGGGCAAAGATTGCTTCGTTAATTATCAAGAGAGATAACCAACAGCTTGTGTATTTTCCCGTGAATTACAATCAAATACTTGTAAATAAGTATCGAAGGGCTTCTTTTAAAAGGTTTTTGAGGTGGTTTAATGAATTTCGTTACATATCAACCTAAACATAAGGTGAGTAATTCTAACCGAAATTACTTGTTTGACCAGTGTAGTCAGTGATGACAAGTTTGCTTTGAAAAACTTTTAAGTAACAAGGAAGTTCAGATAAATCTCACACTGAAATCATATTCAAGAAAAAATTGTATTCTGGATCCTGTTGGGTAAAAAACATGATGGGTTTCAAATGTTTGATCAAGACCACGCATAAGAACTGAGTATGATTTGGAATTTCGAACGAAGGTACTAAAACAAATGTTTCGTTAAAATATGGAACTAAGTTCCCCGTCAATTCCTTAAAGGTTGATTACATTGGGTTTCACTTCCATCACGGTCTCATGATATCTGATCATAAATAGAGAGTTGTGATATATCTAAGTTTCGATTGGTTTGATCAGAAACTTCTTGGACACATGTCTCCGTGTGTGATGGTGTAAGAACTTTAAGATGAAAAAGATTTGTATACGAAGAGACGTGTACCTCTGTTATATTGGACCAAATAGGAAGCTCATAACTCATATGAGAAGAGTAAGGTAGCTCATTGGACTAATGCGAATGTAAGCCTAATTGGGAAGAAATCTTCTTATGAAAATTTCATTAAGGCTTTCAAACATTGAGTTACTTTGAGGCTTCGAAAAACATGCAACGACATGCTTCTAGGGACATCCTAACTAGTAAAAATTTGAAATTCAAAGAATAAAATGATAAATGCACCCCACCCTAGAAATGTAAGCCTTGTCCACTTTGTATCTTCATGAAAATCTACAACATCATACTTGAAAAGAAAGACAAAACAAAATATTTTTGTGTTTTTGATTTTTCAAAAATGAAGAACAAAATAATAAGAAAATCTTTTTGATGTTTTTGATTTTTCAAAAATGAAGAACAAAATAATAAGAAAATCTTTTTGATGTTTTTGATTCTTCAAAAATTAAGAACAAAACAATTAAAAGTACTCGTTGGAAATATTCGAAGTTTTAAAAATACCAATCATACGAATTAGAAGCATTTGAAGAGTTGACTGTGAACAGTAACCTCTGAATACTTAATGATTTTTCTTTGTCGTTTTCTTGTAATCACTGTTTGTCTTTTTCGCATGGAATTGAATTTCCATCAATCATCCCCAGTCCTTCCAAAATTCATACAAACGATTTTTCATCCAAAGCTTTTGTGAAAATATCAGCCAACTGATCCGTTGTTCTCACAAAATGTACTTCAATATTTCCTTCCTCCACATGATCTTTGATGAAGTGATAACGAAGAGCTATATGTTTCATCTTTGAATGCTGCACAGGATTATGACAAATTCTTATTGCACTTTGTGAATCACAGTATAAAGGAATCTTTTTCATGTTAATTTCTTAATCACGTAATTGACTTTGAATCCATATTATATGTGAAGTGCATGGATCAACAACAATATATTTAGCTTCAGCCGTTGAGATTGAAACACATGTCTGCTTTTTCGAGTGCCAGCTCACTAACTTACCATCGAGTAATTTACATCCTCCACTTGTGTTTTTCCTGTCAAGATTACAACCTCCCAAATCTGCATCCGAATATGCTTGAATAAAGAACCTTTTATTCGAAGGATACCACAATCCTAGCGAAGAAGTTGCTTTGAGATAACGAAAGATATTCTTTATAGCAGTGAGATGTGGTTCTTTTGGATTTGCTTTATACCTAGCACAATTACATACATAAAACATGGTATCAGGTCTACTATCAGTTAAATAAAGTAAAGATCATATCATGCTTTTGTATAAGGTAAGATCAACAACAGGTTTATCTAACGAAGGAGTTAGTTTGATCGCAGTTGCCATTGGAACTCGTAACTTTGTACTATTTGTTAATCCAAACTTCTCTAGCAGATTCTTTGTATACTTTTCTTGATTAATGAAGATTCCTTCTCTACTTTGATGAATGTTTAGACCAAGAAAATTAGTAATTTTTCCCATCATGCTCATTTCGAACTTACTTTTCAGCAAGTCTTCGAATTCTTTAGACAAATCAGGGTCAGTTGAGCCAAAGATAATGTCATCAACATAAATTTGAGCAAGCATAAGATGACTCCCAACTTTCTTACGAAATAATGTGGGGTCAACTGATCCTTGTTTAAATTTATATTGCTTCAAAAATGAAGTAAGAGTTGCATACCAGGCTCGTGGTGCTTGTTTCAAACCATAAACTGCCTTATCTAAAATATAAACATAATCAGGATGCTCTTCGTTAACAAAACCTGGGGGCTGTTCCACATAGACAGTTTCTTCGAGTTCTCCATTCAGAAATGCACACTTCAGATCGATTTGATAAACATCAAAGTCTTTATGAGTTGCACAAGCCAAAAATATACGAACCGCCTCGAGTCTTGCGACAGGGGCAAAACTTTATTCGTAATCAATTCCTTCTTGTTGAGAGTATCCCTTAACAACAAGTCTGGCTTTGTTTCGAATAATATTTCCATCTTTGTGTAACGCCCTAATTCTGGTATGTATTTAAATATCTATCTTTTCCAAGTTTTCAAGAGGAACTCGACGAGTCAGTAGCCCGACTTGTCGAGTAGAGACGGGATAAGCACGTGTTTGGAGCCGGCTACTCGGCTAGTCCATATGCTTGGACTCGACGAGTCTGCTAGTTTGGATGAAATGCTAAATCTAGGGTTTGCACCCTATTTAAACGACTTTATGTGCACTAATCAGCCTCCCTTACCCACAGAGAGTTCCATACTAAAACCCTAGCCATTCCTTATCATTTTTGGTGTGATTTCTCATATTGTGCAAGTTGGTGGTGCATTTAAAGCTAGAAGAAGAGAAGAGAAGAGGAGGAATCAAGGGGGAGCAAAGTAGATCCGATTTCCTTATTGTATTACAGTCTTCTTTGAGGTATCAAGCTTAAACCTTTGTCCTTCTTCAATTAGATCTCTTATTTGGCTTGTTTTTTTCATTTTTGGTTTGGTGGTAGTATAGAAAACATGTGGTGATGAATAGCCATCAGATCTACCCATGTCTGATCTATAGAAGCTTAGATCTATTTCCTTTATGGGGCCATTCTTGCATAAAAGCCCTAGATCTACACTTTTGGTCCCTTTAGAGCCTTTAAACCTTCATTGATGCATATACACATGTAAAG